TGGAATCTGCCAAGACAATGTCTAGAAACAAATCCTTGTTTATAGGTGCAAGGGCTTTCATGAAGGAAGCCAAGCAAAATACACCTCTTGTCATCTTTGCAACTCCGACTCGAGAAGTTGCAACTCCGACTTTGGTTATTCCAAAGTAGTATGAAGAATTCAAAGATGTCTTTGAAAAGAAGAATGCTGATATGCTGCCAGAGCATCGACCCTATGACTGTGCCATTGAATTGCAAGAAGGAACACAACCACCTTTTGGACCAATCTATAATTTGTCGCAGACGGAGTTGACTGAGTTGCGGAAGTACATTGACGAGAATCTAGCCAAGAACTTCATCCGTCATTCGAAGTCGCCAGCTGGGGCACCAATCTTATTTGTGAAGAAGAAAGATGGCTCACTACGGATGTGCGTGGACTATCGAGGTCTCAACAAGGTGACAAAAAAGAATCGCTACCCACTGCCTTTGATCTCTGGTCTTCTAGAACAACTTCGGCGTGCAAGGATCTTTACAAAGATTGACCTAAGAGGAGCTTACAACCTTGTGCGAATCAAGGAAGGAGATGAATGGAAGACAGCTTTTCGAACAAGGTATGGCCATTTTGAATACAATGTCATGCCATTTGGTCTTACTAATGCTCCAGCGGCCTTTCAACACATGATGAATGACATCTTTCGAGAGCATCTAGACGATTTTGTTGTCATCTATCTAGATGATATTTTGATATTTTCTAAGAACGAGGAAGAACATGAGAAGCACGTTCATCTGGTACTCAAAAAACTACGGGAGCGAGGACTCTATGCCAAATTGGAGAAGTGCTTATTTTACCAAACTGAGATGGAGTTTTTGGGATTCATCGCGACTACGGAAGGATTGAAGATGGATCCAAAGAAGGTGGAAGCAATCATGTCTTGGGAAGTTCCGAAGACGGTTAGGGACGTACAATATTTTCTTGGATTTGCTAACTACTATCGGATCTTCATCAAGAATTATTCTCAAGTTGCTGCCCCCCTCACTCGGTTAACGTGCAAGGACAAGCTCGAATGGGGACCTATCGCAGAAAAAGCATTCCAAGATTTGAAGATGGTATTTACTACAGCTCCAATCTTGGTACATCCGGACTTTACAAAGGCCTTTTATTTGGAGACAGATGCTTCGGATTTTGCTTTGGGAGCTGTACTTTCACAGATGGGCGTAGATGAGAAGCTCCATCCAGTTGCGTTCTATTCTCGAAAATTCTCTGCTGTTGAGATCAACTATGAGATCCACGATAAGGAACTCCTTGCTATAGTAGATTCTTTCCAAGAGTGGCGCCACTTTCTCGAAGGAACTGCACATCCAGTGACCGTATATACGGATCACAAGAATTTGGAGTATTTTATGTCGGCTCGGGTTTTGAATCGACGTCAAGCTCGGTGGAGTATGTCGCTATCCAGATTCGACTTTGTTATTACTTATCGGCCTGGGAAGCAACAAGGGTTGTCCGATGCATTATCAAGAAGATCATATCTCGCGCCAAAGGCTGGAGATGCAGCATTTGATCAACAGTGCACGACATAGTTGAAGCCAGAGAAATTTCGACTCAATGCAGCTATTGTACCAATTGATGCTGACTTCCTCGACCAGCTACGGGCCGCAACCATTGAAGATTCTCTAGCCCTTGATATCAAGCAACATGCTAGTAATGATAAATTCAAGATGGAAGGAGATCTAGTATATTTCGAAGAGCGGTTGTATATCCCAAAAGGGCCAACACGACTCCGAGTTCTTCAATCTCGTCATGACTTTTCAGCTGCGGGACATTTTGGATTCAATAAGACCTTGGAACTTATTTCCCGCAATTTCTGGTGGCCTCAAATGTGGAAGGATGTGAAAGATTTTGTTGTATCTTGTGACATTTGTTCAAGATCCAAAAACCCTCGACATCAGCCTTATGGACTTCTATAGCCATTGCCTATTCCGCGCCGACCATGGTCTTCGGTTTCCATGGACTTTATTACGGATCTACCACCATCGAATTCATTTGACAGCATTTTTGTTGTCGTAGATCGGCTTACAAAGATGGCACATTTTGTCCCTTGCAAGAAGACATCGTCAAGCGAAGACACAGCAAGACTCTTTCTTGATAATGTGTATCGATATCATGGTCTATCAAATGATATCGTATCGGATCGAGGAACCCAGTTTGTGTCAAAGTTTTGGAAATCTCTTTTTGAGATATTGAAGGTGGATATCAAGCTTTCTTCAGCATTTCATCCTCAAACGGACGGCCAAACAGAACGAGTGAATCAAGTTTTAGAGCAATATTTACGTTGCACCATCAACTATCAACAAGATGATTGGGCCGCATATCTACCGCTAACCGAGTTCGCATATAACAACACCCTTCATGCGTCAACTCAACAAACGCCATTCTTTTCCAATTATGGATACCATCCGAAGCTTGACTTATGGAGTTCGTCAACGATTAACAATCCGGTAGCTGAGGGATTGGTGAAGGAGCTTTTGCAACTTCAAACTATATTGAAGCTTCAATTGCAAACTGCCCAAGAATCTTACAAGGCGTCCGTGGATAAATTTCGGAATCAGGCACCTAAATTCACGATTGGAGACAAAGTTTGGCTGCTTCGACGAAATATTAAGACCAAGCGGCCATGTGACAAATTGGACTATCGGAGATTGAGACCATTTGTTATCCAGAAGCAGATCAATCCTGTAGCGTATCGTTTGGAGTTACCAGCTACTATGAAGGTACATCCTGTCTTTCATGTTTCTTTGTTGGAGCCTTATCAAGAATCGTCTTTTCCTGGAAGAGTACAATGTCCACCACCTAGCATAGAAATAGAGAACCACGAAGAATACGAGGTGGAAAAGGTCTTGGATTCACGGCAAAGACGGGGTAAATTAGAATACTTTGTGCATTGGAGTGGTTACGATATTAATGAACGAACATGGGAGCCGGCCGAAAATCTTGCGAATGCGCCGCAAAAGGTACAGGAGTTTCATCGACGATATCCTGAGAAACCCAAGCCGGTTCGACGATAGCTTCTTATTGAAGCTTGCTCATCCAGAAAACAGAAAAGAAGAGAGAGCACCACCAAAATCCATAGTTCATGTAGTTATTCTCTCCAAGATAGCGTAGAACTTTGTTAATAGCCCAAGTTTGTTCTTATTGTTTTAGCCTTTGAATATGGATAGCCAAGATACTACACTTGTCATGTCATCTCAAGCAACTAGCTCACGAAGACGACCGCGAGATGAAGAACCGCCTGCACCACGACGACGTCGAAGGATTCCGAGCAACAGATCGCTGGTGATTGTATTTGAGGTCGAACCTGCCTACAATGGTCAGCCAGAAGGAGTGTTTGCAGGACAATTTCACAATGAAGACACGGAGGTTCATGCTTGGTCAGAAGTTGAAGGCGTGGGCCACTACCGTTGGCTTCAAGGACCATTGAATCACTTACCTCGTGAACAACAATTGGAGTTCATAGCAGAGGTTATGCGACAGATCTTCATTTTCTTGCGCTGGTATTGACTGACGATAACATTGCTTCTCGGAGACCTCGAAGCTAAAGGAGGAGGTGATGTTAGGGACATAGTCCTTAGACCTTTCTAGAGACAAGTTTCTAGAACCTTCTAGAAAGAAGTCTCTAGAAACTTCCAAAAGATTCCTTGAATATTCTCTTAGAATATTCTTTAAAGATTCTTTGAAGATTCCCTAAAGATTCCCTTAGAAGGCTCTAGAAGATTCTTAGAATATTCTAGTAGATTCTAGGAAGTTACTTGAGAAGCTTCCTAGCTCTTGGGTAGTTGCTCGAGAAGCTTCATAGTTCTTGAGAAGTTTCTTGATGCGCTTCCTTAGAACCATAGGCCAGTAGTATATATAGGAGTCGAGGCTGAAGAGTTCTTCAGTTTCGACAACACATCTCTTGGAGTTCTAGCTCACCTTTTTGGTGTTGTTCTTGTATTCATCTATTTAATCTAGTTCTGCCACTTCTTCTTGAACTTCTTGTTAGATTTCAAGTCTGTATTTTGTGTCCGTGACAGATGCTTCACATAATTTTGAATGTTTACTAAGCCAATAGTTAGTATAATGGAACTTGATTACTTTTCAAACATTTTACTAATTAAGTCATTGAAGCCAAGGTTTTTACACAAGAAAAGTCTAGCCACATTACATTCATTTCTAAAATTATATTAACTAGTAAAAACTTTGGTCTTCTTTATGCTTTGAATTATGAATAATTCTTTTTGAGTTTGAATTATGAAATGACAACAAAACTATTGGCAATAGTAGTATTAAAGAGTAAACAATAAAAACCATTGGGCTAAATTTAGCAACAATAACTTCTCCCATAGCTAGTTATATGTTAAATTCTTTAATACAATAGCACCAAAGAACATAAAAGTTTTATTTAAAAGTAATACAAAAGAGGATGTTAGATTAATGCACAATGTTGTTTACAACAAACATTTCAAGACTAAGAATGTTAAAATGACTAATATTATTTATTTTGGATTGAAATATTTTTTAAGATGTTCTTTCATATCATAAAAAATTAAATAAATAAATAAATAAATAAAATAAAATAAAATAAAAAATTGTTATCTCTTTATGTATGTTGCCTTTAATGTATCGAAAGAATTATTGTAAATAATTATACCAGTATTACTAAAAACATATCATATTTCACATATGTTGTCTCGTTATATATAATTTTATTATTATAATTAGAAAATTTTATACAAAAGTAACAAATAAATGCAAAACAAAGTTTATTTTACATATTGATTTTATGGGTTTTTTGCTACTTTTTTCATATATGTGTATATACATACAAAGTATATAAATATATAGAAATGTAAAAAATTAATTAGAAATTGGTATAGTTAAATTACCTCAGCGTTTTGCATAATAAATAATTATTTAATAAATAAAGACCATTCCTGATTAGTGTAAAATAGATCTACATATTTTAACATACAAAATAATCAAAATAAACGAAAATCTTGTAAATTTTGAGCTTGCAGATTTCGAGCTGGATTGCTCTTCAGTATTGGTACAATGAACCACAATTTTACAAAGGATTAAAAAACTGAATCTTGCCATATACTACCCGTCTCGAAGCTAGACTTACAGTCCTACGAATCATGCGTTTATTTACGACGTGTGTCGCCTCCACAAGCTATACTCATTTCAGGGTACCTAAGGGAACATCGTTGCAAGGTGAATCATTTTGCTTGCTGCCTCCCGACTGAAATCTTATGACAAAGGTAACCGTCTACCAAGGTACTTCTGCTGCCGATTAGGCACACTACTGGGTTAAGACTCCAGTTGTTGGTGATCTCCTATTGTGCCAGTAAGCAAAATACACAATAGCTCAGATCTGGCGGATCGGTGACAAAACAGCGACACATGTCTAAAGTGGTGTTCTCTCGAGAGCTATGCTGTAAAAAGTGCTCCAGTTTGAGAAACATGTTGAAGGGTTATCAGGATAGTACACGAAAAAATATGACTGTTAATGTACGTGCACATAGAATGACACCGCCAGCTCTGGTGTCGAGATCTTGAAAACCTTCCCGGAGACATTAGACGCTGGAAGAGTGGCGGAAAAATGGGATTAAAACCTCGAGTGGAACATGGGATTAAAACCTCGCCGTCTCCAGCAGCATAAAAGAATACTTTTAAAAGTGAACCGCGGATTCCTGTGTCTGGGATTAATTCACATCCTTCATGAAGCCAAGGGCCTCCATCGAGACGTAGTCTTGGTTGCGAAATAGGCTCAAGAAGTGTACCACTCGATAGGCATCTTCAAAGTTGGACAGAGGCCCAAGAGAGACTTGAACACATTCAAACTCCGGAGGTCGCTCAAACACACTGATATTTCGTACTCTCTGCTTCGCTGGTCCAAGAAGGTTTCCGACGCCAGGGTTGTTGAAGGACCCCACTGCCAGCGTGATCTGGTTCTTAGCTGCCAATCGCTGCACCAGCGATGGCATGATAACCTCCCCTGTGCTGTCCAGGACATTAAACGAGATGATATTACCGCGGTTTTCTGCCATGTAGGGACTGTAGACGTTCAACAAGCTCCAGTCGTCAGGGTCAATGTGACGCAACCCCTTCAGCTTCTGTACCATCCAGGTCGCGAGCGCCTTAACACGTGTGTTTATCACATCCAGTCCAATAGACTGTAAGTGTTGTAGGCCCAACTCAAGCCAGGCGAATGAGAGTTTTGAGAGGCTTTCATCTTCGGCAACAATGTAGACATCCTTTCCCTGTGTAGAAGACCCCTTCGTAGAAAGTGTGATTGCGTTGGAGTGTGGGACATGATTTACCAAAAAGCTTGCCCTTCGGACCAGCAGGAAACCCATGCCAGATGAATACCCAACGATGTTTTGGAAAGATCCAAGAACAAAGTCTGGTTGATGTTGAGACAGATTCAATGTTCCGGTTGGAAGCAGCGTTGATGCGTCGACGAGCACATGCCAGCCAGATTTGTGCGCCTTGTTGACCCAGTGCATTGAATGCCGAATACCGGTGATGCTTGATTGCGCAGGATACACAAAGAGGCTTCCAGCTGATTGAAATATGTGGCGCTTCATTAGCGGCCGAATAGTTGATTTTGCCATTGTAAGGTCAGTCTCCTCAAGGGGAGCCAACACAGGCTTTCCTCCACATTTTAAGGCAGCCGCGATAAGCTGTAGAACATGTTGACAGGATATAAGTCAGTCAAGCTCTTGGTCTATCTGGATTGAACATCGAATTACCGAAAAAATGGAACAAGAAATAATGAAGGTATGACTTTGCACCTGATTGGCGGAATCATGGATGTCCTGACAGACCAGAATCGGACTGCCTTTCTGGAAAGGATACGAATTCGCGACCAGACGGTAAGAAGCGTTCAAGCCAGTAGTGAATACGACACTGTATTCCGATCTACTGGTCTTAAACATTTGCAGAAGTCGTCCTTGAGCCATTGCGGCATATTCATCTGAAGAGCCAGGTCCCCCACTGAACATATGACCTTGTGCCGTGACGATTTTCATGTGCTCTTCTATCTACAAGCAGCACAATACAAGAAAATTGGAGTCAGACCTTGAGGTTCATGATTTGGTAATTATCAATGGGTCCGAAAGGTTACTTCGCAGAGAGTCAAGTGATGAGATCGCAAACCTGGAATCGTGAAGAGAGCGCCAAGCTTGCGTAATCCATGTATACATGTTTGTTCAGGGACAGCTTCGGGTACTGCTCACGACGTACGTTCTCCAGAGAGAGAATCTCAAAGTAATCCGGATTAGTTTGAAGGAACTTTTCCTCTGCATCGGCGTAATCTGCTGCTTCGGAGCTATCATCATCCCCGTCAGATTTATAGAAGGCAGACGACATCGATCTGTCAATGTTTTCTTCATCTGAGGTAGACTCGGTTGTCCAGCTCCTGCTAGAATTGTCGCGTCTGCTGAATGTCGAATCAGAAGCCACAGTATTGTTTCTATCGCCGTTCTGAGATCTGAACCTCAAAACAGGCTCACAACTCTTCCTTCTGCTGTCTCCATTGGAATGATGTGTACTTGTCACTTCTGCTATCCAACTCTTCTTACTTATTGGCTGAGACTGCTCCTTGATAATTTCGTAACTTTTGGCACAAGTAGTGCTCACAGGGCTCCTCGGGGACGACCTATCGTACATGTCAAGCACAGCTGGTAGTAGCGAAGTGTCAATGGTGTGGCTACTACGTTGCAGCTTCCTAACCGGTGCCGGGCTGCTCGTCTTGACAGGAAACAGGCTTTCCGCAAAGTAAACCTCCGAGTCTGTTAAATGACCAAAATCTTCGCCTCTCAGCGCACTTTTCTTGGAGGCCTTCTTGACACCGTTGCTATATCTCGGAGACTTGGTATCGATGCTGTAGTCGATACTGTCCGTCTGAAATTCCAAAACATCTCACGTATTATTTCACATCCCTCAATCCGTACTAAAAATAGACCAACTGTAGCGTTTCAAGATTTCTTACGACAGGACTTTTGTTCGATATGTAACCAAACAAGATGAAAACATAAGAGAAGCCATTGAGGAAGAAAGTACCTGCGCATGACCGCGTGCCCCGGATCGAAACTTGCTGAGTTTGTTGAACATGGTTGCTGCGAAGGTCTAATTCGGCCTCACAATGTTGGTCCAGATTCACTCATCTGCCATCTGCTGCTCCCAAGCTGCTGGGCACCAATTCTGCAACCTGTATCCACCGTACCTACACCTTTCGCCAAGGTCCAGCGAAATCCAATACCATTCACGCACCGTGCAACAAACCTGACGCTCGGCAGTCTCCAAGACTTACCCTATCGAGAAACCTCACACCAGGCAGACGTACGCCGCAACGAGTTGGTCAATCTCAACATTATACACATCAACGCACATGCACACTATCAGACCAGAAAGTGATTAAGACGAGAGAATCCTTTGAGCAGAAAATATGAGAGTGTCTGAGGAGGAGCGCAGGGGGGGGGTAGGAGGAGAGGGCGATGCTGGTGTACTGCGAGTGAACTTCAATGAGACTGGCAGCGCGGTTCTTAACTTGGGCGTGTGCAGCGGCAAAAGCGCTCCGGCGCCCAGGATGCCAGCCTCAAGGAGAGGGAACCAACAAAAGCCTGTACAGGCGCTAGAATTCTATTTTCGGGTCTGCGCAGGGCGTGCTTTGGCACCCCAATTTTCGACGAGCCAATTATAACCTCTCCGGCTTATCGTGCTCTCTGGCCATCGTTCAGTTTTCTCTGCTGCCAGTTAAGAGCTCCCCCATTTACTATTTCACTGCTTCTGGCTCACGAGAAACGGCAACTTCCGTCAGTAGTTAGTAAACCCGCGCTATCACTTCCTCAACGGATGCTTAGTTACCCTATGGCACTATCGCTACCATCAATTTCGTTTTTTATGTCCCGGAGTTCCGCACTGCTCCTGCTTGATGGAGCCAGAATGTCGTCAGCCTCCCCCCCTCCGAATTTGAAAAACTGTAGCCTATCTTTTCTTAAACGTTCATACTCAGACTTCCAGTTCCCTCCTTATTTCAATTTTTCCATCTTTCAAGGCCCCAATCATAGTAACCTATTTTCTAGTATATTTTTGAAGATGGTGACTGTTGAATTTTGAACATGGAACTTCTGAAGCGGGGACTAGGAGCTCTTACTCTGCAGGATTATCTCCATTTGATTTTTTGTGCTTCTTATCAAAAAGTATCCCTCCTCCTCCTTGCTGACTCTCACTTCTTGGAGCTTGCTAACAATACTTGTGTCCACATGGCTCCCAAAGTTTGGACACCCCCTCTAAGTTATCTACCTTTCTTTGTATGCATGTGTGGTTGGAGATAGAGTCATCAGCTTTGGCTTGGATTCCCAATGGCTTGGTCAAGCAGCCATGGGAGAGCCCCCAATGATGGATTCTGCTCTTAGGCCCAACACTTTTTCTGTGCCCTAGTGTAGAGCTGTGCATTTAATACTTGTGAAAGTTCTATGCCTTGCTACCCAGACCCATTTGGCCTTTTGAGAATCCCAAGTCTTGGTAGGGTAGTTTTGATACTTTCTGATGGGGGGTCCATTCCTCCCATTGGGCTTCTGAGAAGGCATCTGTTGGGAGATCGAAGTTTGTGCCAAGTGGGCAAAAGTTGGCAATGTGGTTCTTAGGGTTTGCAGGGATCCATCAACTCAGGTTGTACTTTCATTTGCTCAACAAGCTGTCAATAGCAACATTTCACCATGAATAAGGCAGTTGCTACCCAACTTGCTCATGTTGTTAGAGGAGGTACTAATCTCATTAAGAAGTGAGCCTGACCAAATTGGTTGAGTGTGGAGACAAAATGAACAAACTCGGAAGCCTACCAGTTGGGTGAATTGTATTAGTTCACAGTCACATTGTCCACATATGGTGTGCCACCACAAACAGAGAAAATCTTTGAGATCCAAGCACACTTCTCCCACCCACTTTTCTCATTGAAATGCATGCATGCAAGGGATGTATGCAAGAGGAATTCAATAAGATGATCATGAGATCAGTTGCCATTTTTGCCTGTAATCCTCATTCAAGTGTAATGGGACAGAAAACGGAACACACATTTGAAAGAAGAATTAGTGCTTGTTATTCCAAATACATGTGTTGTCCATGAATGTTAACAGTGCAACCAGCTTCCTAACTAGGGTGTGTCCTAGTGCAAAAGCAAATACAATGCTGATGTGGCAAGTAGTGCCCCAAATAAAGGGGGACGTCCTACAAAGCAACAAAGCAAACGACAGTAGCAGAGAAACGGGAACAAATCGGGGGGAGGAGAACGGGGGGTTCCCATTGGGATTCCCAATGCCGTGCCCAACGTGGGAGATCTGTCAAGAAACGGCGTCGAATCCCAACGAGACCTGGAGCCCCTTTCGTTGGCGCCGATGAACAGATGGAGCGGGAGATATTTCATCAACTCTGATGTCAGCCAGTCCGCGCGGGTTTCGGTTCGGTGCCAGACCTACGCAGCCCCTCCGCCCCTAACGGGTTCTTCTCCGTCGGCTTCGGTTCCCTGTGCCAAACTTACACAGACAGCCCGGGTTCCGGGGATTAGCTAAAGCCTTCACCCGGGTAAGTACGCTTTAATTCTCCCTCTCATCGGAATATTCCTTTCCTTAATATTTCCCATTTTAGGGTTTTGCGAGTATTGTTTTACACTCTACGCTATATCGTCATATTTTGTATCCAAAGAAATCACTGAGCAAATTTGGGTCCATGGATCTAAACATTATTCCATTTTTTCACCTGCAATTCAATTATGTCTATTTAGGAATATCATGAAATTTGGATCCGTGAATATTTACTTGGTTTTGGTGATGAACAATGAATTAAGTTATATGTGTATCTGTTGGTTTCCTTTTAGAGGGGAACTGTTGGATCCTTCCATGTGAGTCTTCTGGTCCACATGAAGTGATAGTGACTGTTTTTCGTTATCTGTAAACAAAGTTTCATTTTTCAAAAAAAAATTTGCTAGCAACCATGACAGCAAAGACTCTTTGGATATCTTTTTTTACACATTTTTTCACCTGCAATTCAATTATGTCTATTTGGGAATATCATGAAACATTTAGTTATTGAAATATTTTACTAAAATATATATATATATATATATATATATATAAAGGGAAATGATAAAGGGAGCCAAATGTTTACTAAATCGACCCACATGCCTTGTTCCCAACCTTCACCCCCGTTCTTAAAGTTGCTACCCCTCTTGTTCCCATCCTTAGCAATGGTTGGGAATAAGGAACAGCTGGGAACGAGGATGGGTGCTCCAAGGGTACAATGATGTTTAAGATAAAGTGGGTTGCTTTAGTAAGTATTTGGGTCACTTTATCATTCCCCTATATATATATTATAGTCCACATATTTCTGGACACCATAAATATATGTGGATATAAAACATAACCTAATAGATGTCATGGCAGTTTCCATTCAAACATTTTGCACAAGAACTTTGTAGTCAAAGAGAAAAACACAGCCAGCCATGGGTTTAAATCATCATTTCATACATGCATTCCAAGACTGAAAATTACACATTTTCAAATGTAAATATCACTCCTATTTCAAAATCAATGATGTTTTTGGACAAAGTGGAACCATTTCTTGAATTCATTATTAGACTTCAATGTTTCCAAACATCTTGAGAATTACTGCAAAGGTAAGCATGCAGTATCTTACTGCTCTCTCTCTACCCAGTTACACAAATATATGTATAATATACGCACACACAAGATAGTGAAAAAGGCATTATTCCCTACAGTACATGCACCTAGTAGTTGCAATTCATACAGTATAATTCATATTTAGATTGTTAAGGGCATTAAAAAAAAAAAAAAAAAAGACCCAGATATTTGTTTTTCTGTGAGTCACATGGTAGCAAGGGTGTGATATCTGGCTTGACTTGATGAGCAGGAATCCAAAGGAGGTTTGCCAAGGAGTGTGGCTGATAAGCAGGGTTAGCCACATAAGCAATTAATGCCCCCCACAACCTACATTGTTGCAATTAGCAAACCATATTTATGCCATCAGCACAAATATCTACCCTTATGTCATCCTTTGGATATAATACTCAAGGCCCTCAAATATAGCTACTCTTTATGATGTAGCACATTGCTCATTGGTATCGATGATAAAACCCAACCAATGGGACATCCTGTTTGATAGCTAATTAATTACTCGCAGTCCTGATAAATAGTTGCTTAGGAAGACTCTGTGAATGCGTGGCAGCATTGATTGAATGCTAATTCGGTCATTAGGGGTTAATGGAGTGCGAAATTAATCGCAACAGAGGGTTTAATTCCAGCCCAAATTAATCAAAGCTTGCTCAAGATCTCTCAAAAAATCAAAAATCAACTTAAACACAGACACGTATTAAGATAGAAGTTGTGGAGATGTGGAAATGATCGTTAAGATCGCAGAATCGGTGAGGGACTCGTTCACCGGTGGAGTTTTTCCAGTCTCCTCTCATCCAGTGCCCACAGGAAGCCACTGCGTACACACCCCTAATTTTTAAGATAGTATTGTCTGCTTCCAATTAGGTTCTATTTGTCCTGGGGCGCCTCCGGCAACAAGAGTGCCAGGGCCAGTCCACTCAGTAGAGAGGATTGCTGAACGCGTGTGTCTGCACGGAGAGCGGATTAGTGGCGAACATGGGTACCGGCGCCTTTGTCTCGTGCTGCTGCCCTGCTGCCCTGCTGCCCCCCCCCCATCTTTGAATGGGAGAAGAAAAATGGAAAACTGAATCATATCGACAGTTCATTTTACTGAGTTTTACTGGCAAACGCACGAATTATAACTAAAATAAAGTTGTTCAAATGTTAGAACAGATTTAAGTAAAACATTTCATATTGCGATCAACGAGGACAGCCTGTAATAAAAAAAATGTTTGTGATTCTTTCCTACTATAGAGATTAAACACTGGACTTGCCGACAATACGATATGCTCTTGTTTGTATGCATTCACTAATGGACGTCTTTGGAGACACCAATCCTTCGAAAAGATGAACATCCCAAATATATATTTTATGATTATCTGCTCAATTAGCTTATTGATGGAAATTTTCTAGTGATTTATAAAAGCACCCCAAGCTATGATTCTAATACGATATAAGAAGATAAGAGAATGTAGTCCCTGATCTGGATGCTCGAAGGGCACCAAAGAGATCCCATTTTATTTTTCATACACATTTGCTGGAGAATCTTTGTAGACAACGAGGCGGTTATCATAAGCCGATGAGGTATTTAGGGCTGCAAGGATTAAGGTTGGAAATATGAGGTTTACTAGGAGGTTGTTAATGGAGTTGTTCCTCCTTTGTCTACTTTCAGGGGATTCTAGCGCTTTCGAGTTATGCATCTGATGAGGATGATATTTAAGTCTTACTTAGGATGATAATTCCAATTAACAAAAAATGTATATATTCCGTAGATTTAAAATCGGAGTTTTATTGATATATTTGTAATAAGTACATCAAGCCTAATAAGATCACCCAGTGAAGATGTTTTAATGAAAAAGTCATTTTAGGATTTGAAAAAGGTACTCGTAAACAAAAACGAAATTCTCGTATAAATTGGTATAGGAAAAACTTTGAAACCTTGCTGAAGTATTAAAAAAAAAAAGAAGAAACCA